AGACAAGATCTTAATACTGATCTTGGGTGGTGGTGTCTCTTTAGTAACCATGGTGAAGTTGGATGAGCTTAAACACTGCATGTTGGAAATATCTGAAGAATGAGTCAGTAATGAACCTCATGCCTTTGGTGAAATTGGGCTGAAATATTTCAAAGTCAGATTTGGAAATCTATACTTAAGGATTTCAGAGTAACAGAAGTTTCAGCTAGAGTTGATCAAGAAAAAAACAAAACAAAACAAAAAACCATTTTTTTTTTAAATATCATACAATAAATAGAAAGGCCAATGACTCTCAAATATCTTAATAACTGTATCGAGGGGTTATGTATAAAATTCTTCTGCTTAAAGGTGAATAGGATATGTGTGGACTCTGTGAATGAGGTCATTATTAATCATTCTACTATTAATTATTAGTAGTCTTATTAATTGATTAGTATTAATTAATTAATATTAATTATTAATATTCTTCTAATAGGAGAAACTAATGCATTACCTTACCTTTGGCAACTTCTGGGAAAAAAGAAAACAAACTACCTTCTCTTTACTCATCCAACCACCCCTCTCTGTTCTCAAGTTCCTTTTTCTGATAGAAGATGGACAAAGGAGAAGCTATCATTATACCTTTAACTATTCAAGATGGCTTCTGCTGAAGGTAAGAGGGCTTCTTGTTTTTCACTCTGTGGTGTCTTCAGGAGTCCCTGGGTGGTAGAAACAGTTAACATGCTCAGCTGTTCACTGAAGGGTTGGAGGTTCGAGGCCACCCAGCGGCATCTTGGAATGAAAGCCTAGTGACGTCTTTGGGAAAATCAGTCATTGAAAATTGTATGGAACACAGTTCTACTTTGACACATGTGGTCACCATGAATTGGAATTGACTTGGCAGCAACTGGTTTTTCTGGTGATGTCTTTATCCTTGAGTCCGTTTACTGGTATTCTCTCCATCCCAGTCTAGACCCTTCTAGCATGAGAAGAGTGTCTCTCTACTGCTAAGTGCATAACGTGGTTGTTAACTGCCTGCCACATCCAAAGGAATGTGCTGGGCACAAAAAGTATAGGCTGTATCTCTAAACAATGGAACTTAAATGGATTTTGATGAGATTTCCATTGACTGTCCCATAGGAAGTAAGGAGAACAAAAGATTATCCTTCATTATCTACTTTTGGAGGAAAAAAAGCATGAATCCAGATAAAAGCCTTCATTGTTTCCCTGTATCTTCCCTATTGCAAGGGGAGGATTTGGCTTCAGCTCCTGTCATTTCTCCATGCTGCTGTAACAGAGGGGCTACAGGTGGGTGACTTCAGCAAACAGACATTTATTTTTTCATAGTTTAGGAGACTAGGAGTCCAAATTCCGGGCACCAGCACTACAGGAAGGCTCTGTGTCAGCAATGGGGAAAGATCTTTGTCTCTTTCGGCCTCTGGCCCTTGGTTCCTTGGTGATCTTCATGTGGCATCTATCTTCCCTGTTTGTCCTTGCTTTTATTCCTAATCTGCTCCTTTAATATCTCAATAGTGACTGATTTAAGATACACCCAACATTGGTATGACCTCATTAATCATAATAAAGAAAATCCTGTTCCCAGATGGGATTATATCCACACGTATAGGGTTAAGATTTATAACACATATTTTTTGGAGACCCAATTAGATCCACAACAGCCTCTACAACAATTAAACAAACATTATGTAAAATAATAATTTAAAAAAATATCTAAAATTGAGGACAGTGTAGTATAGGAGAAATTATAGAAGGGTGAGCAGATCCTAAATGCTATGTTGTTGTTGTTACGTACCATGGAGTCGGACCTGACTCATAGTGACCCCTCCTTGGGTTTCCGAGGCAGTATCACTACAGAAGTAGATTGCTCCATCTTTCTTCCAAGGAGTGGCTGGTGGGTTTGAACCGCCAGCCTTCTGGTTAGCAGTCAGATGCCTTAGGCACTATGCTACCAGTTGTTGTTTGTTCTTGTTATGTGCCATCGAGTCAGACCCAACTCATAGCGACCCCTCCCCCTAAATGCTATAGGAAATATAAATCTTGTAGATTCTAGTAACCATCTGACACTCTTGTTAAACAATTATAGGACAAAGTATTTGCAAGACCATTTTTTTTAAAAAATCCTATGATTAACAATGAAAATAGCAGAAGACTGAGAAATTCTCAGAGTTCATGCTCTTGTGTTACGAGGCCAAACTACAAATAAGTGAGTGTAGAGTCAAATCCAGTGGTTCTATATCTCCTAGGCAACGTAAGTTATTCTTCTAGGAAACAGCCTAAAATAAAATGCAATCAGGATCTTGGGTAGTGAATGACGGATTTGGTCTCGTTTTAGAGCTGCTCATTTTTTGAGTTGCCATTGCGCTGTTTCAGACTCCTGGCAAGCCCGAGTGTGTCAGAGTAGAGCTGCGCTTTATAGAGTCTGCAGCGGCTGATCTTTGAGAAGTACATCCCCAGGTCTTTCTTCCAAGGCACTCCTGGGCAGACCTGAACCTCCGACCTTTCCAAGTTAGCAGCCAAACACATTAACTGCCACACCCACCAGATCAGTCGGATTCTACCTGCGCCCCAGAAAGGTGGGGATTAAGTGAAGAGTGGCTGTGTTAACACATGGGGGTTCCAGAGGTTGAGGGAGTTTTGTCTCAGTTTAACCCACTTGGAACTGGTTCCAAGGAGCTAGAGTTTGATAAAACATCATCCTTCTTATTGACTCCTGGGAGGTAGGGGAAGGAGTGGTGAGGAACAAGGCAAACAACATTCTTTAAGATGAGAGGAAACTGTGTCTGGGAAAGGCAGGTTATTCCACTTTGTGAAAAAATGCTGTGGAAAACATCTGTTGCTCTTTGAGATAAGGGTAAAAAGCTGGGCAAACATCAAATGATTCACTTCTAGACAATGGTGGCTATTTGGGATGACGTTGTTGTTTGCCGTTGAGTAGATTCCAATCATAGAGATCCTAGAGTACAACTTTCCCATAGGGTTCCATAGGCTGTAATCTTTACAGGAGCAGATTGCTAGGTCTTTTCTCCCATGGAGCAGCTCATGGGTTTGCAGCTGAGTGCTTACCCACTGGACCACCAGGACTCCTTTGGGATATCAGCATTTAAAATTGTATGCAAAATTAGATTACTGCTTTAGACCAGGCAACATCTTTTCAAGTTCCCTAAGACACCTTTCTCATGGCTGGGAAAACATGATGCAAGGAAGTAAGTGTGTGTATCTGTATGTTAGTGAATGTGTGCAGGCAGAATTGAAGGGATGCACTCTGAGTCAAACAAAGTTGAGCTGCAAAAAAAAAAAAAAAAATTATTCTGGGCATGTGTCAGAGAAAATTGCTATTCTCATTATGACAGAAATACTTCAAACTAACAAAACAAAACACTCATAGTCTATTAATGTTGTTGTTGTTGTGTGCCGTCGAGTCGGACCTGACTCATAGCGACCCCTCCTTGGGTTTCCGAGGCAGTATCACTACAGAAGTAGATTGCCCCATCTTCCTTCCGAGGAGTGGCTGGTGGGTTTGAACCGCCAGCCTTCTGGTTAGCAGTTAAGTGCCTTAGGCACTATGCTACCAGAGCTCCTTCTGTTAATATCAGGAAGAACAAATCTACTCCTATTCTGCATTTGCTTCCTTTCTCACTGTACGTTACAATAAAAAAATTCTTAAGACAACCAAGTAGGTAGAGCTGCAACTTCAGTATACAGGTAACAACTGTTAAATTTGCCTGAAGAGAAATGAAATTTTCCCAAACATCAATTAAATCATTCAATTTTTTTGGGGGGGGTGGATAGTGGTGGTTGATAGTACTGGTACCAAACTCCGACATGGCTTAAAAGCAAATGACTAAAATGCTTTAATTTATTTTAAAGTTTCATGTAACTTGTCCCCTCTTCATAACAAAAAGCCTGGTTTCTGTTCTAGCCCATCTGAAAAAGCCTAGTTTTGTTAGGTTAGTTTTTATCCTTGGGAGCAACGCCCCCTTCTGTAACATGTGTTTAATTGCAGAAGGATCTGTTTTGTTCTCAAATGAAAGTATAAGAAAAAGATATTATTAAAGTGAAAAAGACTTTATTTTGAATGATATACATAACATTCATTCCATTTTATTTCATAGTGCATAGCTATGCATGGAAGTACACAGGGAAAAATTAAACATAAGTGATGCTTAAGTTACAGAAGTATACAGGCGAAGAGGACAGTCAATAAACACATGACCAGGCTTAGCTGCACAGACTAGGACAGTATCTGTCAGAAAAGAATACAAAACATGCAAAACATTCTATCAATCATGGCAGGCACGTACATGATAAGATTTCCTGGGTACAAAAGTGCATATGCTCTTTGGATTGAAAACAATATACATGAGTGGCTTGGCCTTTAGTCCAAGCCAAAAATCATCTATAGAGTAAATAGTGTGGATTTTGTTATGCCACATGTGGTAATAAAATATTCAAGGCCACAGATGGAGGTTACCAGCTTGGAAAAAGAATGCTGAGAGGTGGGGCAAATAAAAAAAATAGAGAAATGCAATAAAGAAACGATACCTCTGCCTACATTGGGAGCTAGTGGATGCATAGGCATTAAAAGAACAGCACAATCCACAGTACGCTGCACTTCCGTCTCCACTGTCTAAAGGAAGCCACTGTGCCGTCACAAAGTTCAGAGGAGAAGAAGGGCAAGTTTAATGTTCTCTTCACTTTGCTGTGAAGGAAGAGCAGAGTACAGGGCCAGCAATGATCTTCTTCCCGTCATGACACTAACTGTTAACTGCTCCACGTCCACCATGTTTACCACAGGGGAGATGGCAATATGAAGATTAGGTAATTAAAATCAAGCTTCCAACTCAAATATCTTATAGCTGGGGAGCTAAAGAAAGATCAAAATCTTTGCCTTTTGTAATCAAATGCTTAAAGCAGGTTTTAAAAGTTGCGATAAAAAATTGATAAAGAAAAGCTGCAAAGAAAGTTACTGAACAAAATCTCCTGGTTTCTTTTAGGGTTTTTTTTTTTTTTTTCCTTTTTTTTTTTAAAATTGCGCTCTGTAGTAGATAGAAACACAGAACACTTGGAATAACTATGACTCAGTATTGCTGCGTGTCCCCTAGGACATCAGCTTTTTGCACTCGACGGAACAGAAAACCATGCCTTCCACCGGCATGAACTTCTGCCCGATGAGACACCTGCTGCAGCAGGAGCACAGGAAGCACTCCGCGGAGGCGTGCCAGCTGAAACTGTTGTAGGTCACCCGCTGCACCTCCGGGTCAATGGCATTGTGGCATCCTTGGCACACCTGTCAAAGCAACAATGCAGATGAGAAACGAGGATGAGAGAGCAGACTGTGATGGGACATTTTCATTTCAGAACTGAACACATTTCTTCAGATGATAAATGACACAGAGTGACAACCTCAAAAACATACAACTGAGAGAGCCCTTCCAGTCAATATTCAAGCCAATAACTGCTAATGGAAGTCTATACACTGAACCACCACCTCAAACTCTGGTGGCTTGCACGTTGCTGTGGTGCTGGAAGGTATGGTACTGGCATTTCAAATACCAGCAGGGTCATCCATGGTGGACAGTTTCAGACTAGCTTCTAGACTCAAACAGACTAGGAAGAAGGTGAGTAGTCAATCTGCTTCAAAAAATCAATCAATGAAAACACCATGGATTACAACAGAATATTGTGTGATACAATGCTGAAAGATGAGCCCTCTAGGTTGAAAGGCACCCAAAGTACAGTGGCTGCAACAGTGGTCTCAATATTATCAACGATCATGAGGACTGTACAAGACTGGAAAACATTTGTCCTCTTGTACACAGTGTTGCCATGAGTCAAAGCCAAGTCAACAGCAATTAACATCAACATGTGCTGAGCACTGTAAGAAACAGGGGGAAGGCTCCTTAAACCCACCATTGTTGAGTTGATTCTGATCCACTGTGACCTGATAACACAGAAGAAAACTGTCCTATAGGGTTTCCAAGGCTGTAATATTTATAGGAACAGATTGACACATCTCTCTCCCACAGAGCAGCTGGTGGATTCAAACCACTGGTCTCTTAGTTAACAGCTCAGTGCTTAACCATTGTGCCACTAGAGATCCTTAAGGCCTGTTAAGGTCCTTCTGATTGATTCTTATAAGATATATGCCCACCATGTTCGTGGTAGAAAGTCTTGACAGCAAATTCCAAAACAGTGAATTTGGTGCCAGCGCATTCTATTAGATTGTGTATTAATAATGATAAGGAAGTGGGTAAAATGATTTTTCCTCACTTATTAAAGCGCTGAAATAGTAATTCTCCCAGTCTTAGCTATGACACACAAAATTATTAACACCACTAATCCACTAATTTCTAGACAGTTACAAATGAATTATGTTCAAAGTAATTAAAGACTCAATTAAAAATACTGAAGTGTTTTAGAATAATTAGTTTGCACTAAAAATATAACTTGTAGTTAATTGGCTTCTGTTCTGGAGGCATAAGATCAGTCACAATTAATGTATAATCTAATATTGTAGGACATCACTATTTACATCCCCTACACCATTCTATGTTATATGTAAGTATATATGTAAAATATATACATATACATACACCCATATACCCATGCATCTGTACCCTCCTCCCACCCACCACATACATCCACACACACATATCCACACAGGCAAAAACATCATTTTCTCCTTATCTGAATATGCATATGAAGAAAATTAATGAATATCTCTTTATGTTACAGCAGAAAATGAACAAAGTCGAGACCTCCAAAACACATATGCCTTCTTATTCGCACATATTCTCAATGAATTTGACTAAATTTTATAATAAGTGAAGAAATCAGTAAGACTGTCTGTCCACTATTAGGTGACAGCATCAACAGTATCCTTGGCCCCTTATTGTGCCTGCCAGAAATGAGTGAGAGGTAAGGGATGGGAATGGGTGGGTAGAGAGTCATTTAGCTCAAGTGTCCTTACTTGAACAGACCTCAGAATGTGGCTGCTAATCGGGGGGAAAATGAGTTTAGGCAGTGAAGTGGAGTCTTGTCACAAATACCCACTGCAGGCCTCTACCATACTGTCCATATTTTCTAAGAGCCACATTACTTCTCATCACAACTGTTGTAGTTGCTTAATCCATGCTTTATGTCAATCCAGTCTTCCTTGAAAAGCAAGGGAAATATTCACTGTTATAGATTGAATTACGTACCCCTAAAATGTGTTGTAAACCCTAACCCCTACACCTGTGCTTATCAGCTCATGTGGGGTGGGGTTGTGTGGTAGCTATGTTTGTGTGTCAACTTGGTTTGGGCCTGGTTGAGTGGCTGGGCAGCTGGTGGTAGTTATTCCCCATGATGAGATTGGCAATCAACTCCATGTGGGATCTACCACAAGCAGCTGAGTAGC